TGCAGCTCACCTTCTCTGACCTAGGAGCATGGGATGGTGGCGGGGGAGCCTCTTCCTGGGCGCTGGGATTGGCTCACCTTTTTTGTCCTAGGAGTGTGGAATGGCGGCAGGGGAGCCTCCTTCCTGGTGCTGGGACTGGCTCACTTTCTCTGCCCTAGGAGCATGGAATGGCGGTGGGGTAGCCTCCTTCCTGGTGCTGGGACTAGCTCACTTTCTCTACCTTAGGAGCATGGAATGGTGATGGAGGAGCCTCCTTCCTGGTGCTGGGACTGGCTCACTTTCTCTCTGCATGATGGTTTTTAAAATAGCAAAGAAATGTGAAATAGTGGATTCCAACTTGGATCTATTGTGAAACTCTCTGAAATTTTAAATAGTTATGGATACTTTTTATAAATTTAATTAAATTTATTTTTAACTGATACACAAAACTGATACATAAAAATTATATTTAAGTGGAGGGCCATTTGATACATGTATACATTGTGTAATGTTTATATCAGATTAAACATATCTCTCTCCTCAAACATTTACATTTCTCTGTGGCAAAAACTTTTAAAACCTTTGTTCTTGCTTTAAAGTGTACAGTGTGTGTTTGTTATCTACAGTCTCTCTATTGTGCAATGGCACACCAGCATTTCTTGGTCGTGTCTAGCTGTAACTCAGTACCCACCGATTAATATTTCCCTATCCCTCCCTTCTACCTACTCTCCCTGTCTCCTAGGAATGACCGTTTAACTCTCAGTTTTCATGATCAACTGCTTTAGACTCCACATAAGAGTGAGATTGTGCAGTACTTGTCTGTGCCTGCTTTTTTTCACTTAACATAAAGATCTCCAGTTCCATCCAGCTTGTCTCAAAAGACAAGATTTCATTCTTTTTTTAATGGTTGAACAATATTTCATTTGAGTCACAGATACGATCTTGTCTCATTCCCAAAGTGGTTGCCAGTGTCCTTTCTTCTTTAGCTCTGCTGCTTCCTCTACCAACTATTTGTCTTACTGCTATAGTCACTGGGATTGTTACAGGAAAGTATAAACCAAGGCCTCTATGGCCCTTAGAGAAGAACAAAGAATAAAGTACAAGACAAAAATGGTGCAATTTCATGCCAGAGCAAACACATCTTCCTCCTCCAAATTGTCCATGGCCAGTAACAGTAGAGGTAGCTTTGCTAGTGCCATAGTTTTTAGGGACTGTAAGAGAGAGACTATCCTAATTTATTTCTTTGTAGTGTGAGGAAATCTAATCCAGGCCAATCTTCTGACTCAAGACTGCCTGAGTTTGTAATTTCTGCTTTGTTGCTCTTAACATTACTTAATCTTAGTTGTTTTACCTTAACCTTAGTCTCCTCAATTGTGAAGTGAGACTGAGTTGCCCTGAAATAAGGTTTGCAGAGCAGCAAACATGCTAATGCAGGGGCCAAGGCAGGCACATTGTAGGTATTTTATAAATTTTTGCTAAATGAACAGATAGTGCCTGTTGTCCTCTTTCTCAATACACACTTAGTGTTTCAGTACAGTTAGTATATTTCTAATCAAATGTAAATACACTTGAGATTTTAGTATTTGAAACTGTATCATAAATAAATGCTATACTTCTATTATTATTATTTGCAATTATCATGGACAATAAACTCATGGACTTTTATTAAACTTTCATGGATATCAAGAAGTTGATGGGCACCTTGTGGATGAAGACTGTTTACACATTCATCCACTCAAAAATATTTAAGGAGAATTTCCAATGTGTAAGGAATGCATATGATTACTTATGTGAATTTAAAATTTGTTAGAGATGAACATGTAACCACTTTTCTTTCTTCGTAATACAATCCGTTCGAAAAAATTTTACTTATTTTCTTTAATTCACAGGGTAAATGTCTATTCACTATGTATATGACACTGAACTGATATTATATGAGGAATACAATGAATAGGACAAATAGTCTTATCAAATAATTACAAATTAATAAAACCATATAAATTTAAGATATATAGAATGAAAACCAAGAGAGATTATCAGAATAAAGAATACTTCAATGCTGAAGGAGAGAAAAACCAAAGATGTGCTCTGAGAAAATGAGGGGATTAAGAGAGACACAGAGCAGGGGGAGGACAGCCCAACAAGCAGAGAATTTGTTCAGAAATGAATGTAGCATGCTGGAAAGAAGGGAATGAATGCATAATATTCCATACATCTCACTGTGTTAGATATTTTATACTTTGTTGATTTGCAAAGAATGTTACAACAACCATGGTTGAGACAATGGATAAATTTATATGTGAAAGAGAAATAAAAGATTATACAGAGACTGTTCCTTCATTTTTTCCCACTCATCTACTTATCTACGCAAAAATATTGTTGAACACATTCTGTGCCAGTCTTGTGTCAGCCAGTAGGGATATTGCCATGATGGACCCAGACAGAGCTTCTTCTTTCAGGAACATTATAAAATAGTGGAATCAGAGTGCAGACCACTTGAATGCCAAGGTAAGAAACTTGGTATTTATGTAAAATATTAATGGAGAGCCATTAAAGTCTATTAAGGAGAGGAAAGTTTTAGGATTAATCAGAGTAGAGAGACTAGAAGTATGAACATCTTTTAAAAGTTCGTTGTAATAATTCAGGAATGATTTTGTGAGAATTTGAGTCAGAGTGGTGTCAATGTACTGGAAGATAAAGATAAACATGAGGATGGATTAAAACTTCTCAACTAAGGAAAACTAAATGCTAGGTCAAAACTTTTCAGGGACAGATTGGATACTGGAGGCTAAGGGAAGAAGATAATAAAGTTATTCCAAAGTTATTAAGATGGGTAACCTGGAGAATTATAGCATTACAAGTCAAATGAGTAAATTCAAAGAAAATGAGGTAAAGGTCATGGGGGACAATGACCCATGAGGAGGTTTTGAATGTAATGATGCACTGAACTGATATCAAATGAGATTCTTGAGAAGGAAGGGAGCTCCCAAACTTTTTGACAGTGACTTTAGGAAGAAACAGATTTTACATGGTAAATGAATATAGACATTTAGCACACATTTCACAGAATGGTACTTATCCTCCTACATGTAATGTATTTTAATCAATTACAGTCCATTAATTTTATTTCACTAACAACTGCTGTTACTGCACCCTAAATTTATTGAATTACCCTGTTTGAAAATTGTTCCAAAGATAGTAAGAAATCAGGATCATATTGTAATATTCTTTGAGAGATTTTGACATTCAGGATCTTGTTATTGAAGAAAAGTCAAAGTTAATAGAGATTTTGGAGTTGTGCCATATGGCATTAGAAAATAAGCTTCAGTTTATAGGGAATAGAAGAGCAGTTTCCAACACGTGAATAAGTTAAACTTTTTCCTAGTGGGTGGATAACAAAGAACATTAGAATGAAATCCAATCACTTACTCTATCACATACCACATACGTTTTGAATTAAAATGAAGGGTATCTATGTTAATGTCTGACTACACCTGATCTTTCCCATTGAGTAAAGAAATATCACCAATATGTTCCCCTTTCTATTCTTGTGGACACATTTCATATTTGCTGTTTCCTAGACTTATTCACAATTTTAAGTCTTAGTGACAATGAGCCAAAGAATAACCTCTGAAAAGTGCACTTAGGCTATTGTAGCTTTTTGTCTAATTTGGCTCATTAAGAAGCAATTGCATGTGTCTGGTAAGTGGCCATGAGCAAGTTACTGTACAATAAATGACCTGCTCCCCAGGGTGGCTGATGCTGAGGAAAGATCTTCATATTTGAGTTTTCCAATATCCCCTCTGGTTATTAATTTAAATGGAATAGAAAAAATAAGGGGGAATTAATATTAAATTGAGAATTTGGATGAAGAAGGCAAAGAAGTGCCAGCCCTGAGCACATTTTATAACTATTGGCCAATATATGGGACAAAGCCTGGGACTACTGGGCCAATGGGGTACATCACTGGGTTTTTGAAAGAGACTGAAAAGTATGCCTGATTGCTAGAATGTCTGGAGTCTCTTCCTTTGGTCTTACAATGGGTGTAAGACAGCTTCTGCTGACCTGTTGACTTTCATGTTTTAATCATATTCATACATTACACCCTGATGAGAAAAGAAAAATGTGAGAAGAGGTGATATCAAGTTGCTTAGACCCATTGACCATATGGGTGCTGTTGTTTCTTCATCAATCAAATTAAACTGATGGTCAATGGAAGTTCTGAGTGGCTCCTTGATGCAAAGCATGTGCTAGATCAGTTGTTAGATATAACGAGCAAGAGACAGGGTTCATGCTTTCAAGAAACTTACTATGTTGGGACACAACTGTAGCATTTCAACTGTATGGAAATATCAAAGTAGCAAATTCCATGATCCAAAAAAAGAAAGAGAAAAAAAAGTTTTTGAACAGCAGAATATACATTCCAAAGTTCAAATGCCAAAGTTCAGGCCCCAACAGCTGTTTACAAGGGACAGTTAACCTTCTGTCCTAGTGAGATGGGACTTTTGGGGTGAGACTGAAGAGCTTCAGGTTATTCTCTCCACTTTGTCACCTGACTGTGATTCCATGCACGAGGAATTCATGGACACAGCCCTTCTAAAATGCTTCTATTTCTAGGAAGGTCAAGGGTGGTTTGGAGGAGGACAGGTGTGCAGAGGGCAGGAAAATACATGAGCAAGGTCGTTATGAGGTCTAGTGAGGGGTAGGAGAGGAATATGCATGCCATGGATAGATGTATCTTACAGTTCAATTGAGTCCAAGACTATACATCTTTGCTCAGGACATTCTCTCACTCTTTAAGACTACTTCAACGTCTATTTCCCTCAAATATTCAACCCCAAACTCTTCTCTTATCCACTCCCAATTTACAGAGAAAACATTGGAGAAACTTCAGGTGGATATCCTCTATCTTTCTGATATTAATTGAGCTAATCTAATTATACCTACACCCATCTGATTCTCTTTTCTTTCAGCTTTGCTACTTGAGCTTTTCTTATCTTTTTTTGTACTTTTGATCTTACCCCTTCAACTTTTTCAAGAATTCAACTGCTTCTTCTCTCTTGCGTATTGAATATCTGCCTCTCAGTGTAGTTTTATTCATTGACTTCTAAATGCTCAGAAGCAGAACTTTTCATTGGCTGCCAATCCTCTTCAGCTTCCCCTTCACACTCAAAGTTCTTGGGAGAATTATCAATGCCAGTTTCTTATTCTTCACCTTCCACGTGCTTCTGTATCTGTTGTAGTCTGGCTTTTGGTCTCATCATTCTGCTAAAAGCAGCTCTTTTAAGAATATCAATAACACTCATGCAACAGATGGTTTTTCAATTCTTATCCACTATCATTATCAGTAATATTTGTGACTATTTATCTTTGTCCTTTAAAACATTTTCTTCCCTTGTGCTTCTTAGCATAACATTGTCTTGATTTTTCCCACTTGTCTAGGAAAGGACAAGAAGTCACATGGTGCCAGATTTAGTGAATAAAATGGAAAGAACACACTAATGTTTTTACAAGCCCACCTTTCTGTCAGATGCCACTTGGCAATGGTGTTAGCTGTATTTTTTACTGTACCTTGTGAAGACACTCATGAAGGAGTACTTCCAGAACTGCTTCAGAAAGAATGCTGGGATAAGTGTGTTTGAAGTAAGGAGGAGTTTTCTGAGAGAAATTAATGGCAACGTATCTTTTACTGTCAAAAAATTTAAAAAATTTAAACATTCACCATATTTTTGGCCACTCCCCTTCTGTGGAAACCTCATTCCTCATGTTCTAGCTCTGTTCTTGCCCCTCTAAACAGTTGCCTCTGGCCACTGTGCAGGCTTAGGTGTAAATGTATAATTGATATTGTCTGTCTACTCTAAGATACATTCATGTAAGCTCTCAGGCCTTAGAAGAGACTCAGGGCTATTTGGATAGAAAATTGCAGAGTCAGGCTGCCTAGATAATGACCTAGAGGAAGAAGAAGAGTGGGTTTGGTGAATACACACCCTTGCTTTTGTGAACCCTTTGCCTTCTGATGCAGAATATAGCTGGCAGAGACCAGAGAGAGTCTTCTAAAGCATTAGATTTTAGAGAAAGGGCTGTCTTGCTTAGGTCAAATGTCAGTACAACTATTAAATTTCTCTCTAATATTTCTACTTTTTTCCATTCTTACAGCACTAACACAATCCTGGATCCCATTCTCTGTTAGTAAGATTATTGCATTTGTCCCTGACTAGTCTTCACCTATACTCTTGGCCTCTCAAAACTCTTCCCCTGGAATGTAGCCAGAGCAATATTTCTGAAGCATAATCAGACTATGTCATTGAGCTTAACTCATTCAGCATTTTGATTGTTCTTGAATAAAAAACAAAATACTCATTATATTAAGAGAATGCACAAAGCCATCTCCTGCTCTTCTATCTTGTCCTTCACTGTGCTTCCCTCTAACTTTGGCCTCTCAGGCTCTTTTATGCCTCAAGCATTTGTATCCTCTATTCCTTCTACTGTAAGGGCTATTTTACCCCTCATTATTTGCAATCATTTAAAAATTCTCAGCAGGTATGGTGGTACATACCTCTAATCCCACCACTTGGGAGGCTGAGGCAGGAGGATTGCTGGGAGTTTAAGGCCAGCCTGGATGACATAGCAAGAGACTGTCTTAATAAATTGAAAAAAGTAAAGAAATAAATATCTTCAGCTCACACTTTGCATCCCCAGGAAAACCCTTTCAGATTTCTACATGCATGGCATGGTTAAGTGAATGCTGTTGAATCTGGAACTCTGTTTCATCTTTAAATATTCAGGGGGTGCTAATTTTACCAGTTATTTTAGACAAACTCCCCATGGAAAATGTGTAGCTTTTTACAAGTATATTATCTTGGGGGGGGTTGTAATAGTAAAATGAATATATCCACATACTTAACTTTACCTGCAAAGAGTCAAATAATTGCAAATTCTGCTTTTCTTTCCTTCCAATCAGTCTGTCATTCTTTTCATAAAGTTTCTATGGGAAGCTTCACTGTTTCCCACATTGAAGCCTAACTCTTTGATTTGGTCTGTTACTAAACATTTACAAATTACATATCCTCATATCCTCCTCCCTCGGTCATCTGTCTATTCATCCCAGTTCTCCAGATACAGTTCCTTCACTAGTGCAAATAAGCCCAGTGAATACAAATTTGAAATTTTAGTCTATTGAGTTTGCATAGTAGCGAAAGAGGCTAGAACCTACAACTCTTATTTATGTCTGAGACTGCCTTGGATTGAGAGCACCTCCTCTATAGTTTTTTATCATCTTAATCTTGGCTCATATTCTACATAGACAGTAACTTCTATTGCACAACAGTTATCTTCCAGTGTGTCTGTCTCCCCTGTGGGGCTGTCAGCCAGGAAACGTGTCTTATTAATCTTTTGTATCTTTAGAGTCTAGTAAATGCTTGGCATAGAGTGGACACTCAGTAAATTTTGAGTATAAATAAAAGGATAAATGGCACCTTTTTTTGAGACAGGATCCCACCATATAGTTCAGGCTGGCCTTGAACTCACTGTGTAGCCCAAGCTGATCTTGAACTCATGGCAATTCTCCTGCCTCAGCCTCCTGAGTGCTGCGATTACAGGAGTGGACCACCATGCCTCGCTTGCACTTCTTAAAATAAGTAGAAATGACCATTTGTACCTTGTGCCCTGTCAGCAGGAACATTGTTGTTCTTGAATAAATATTGTGTTTGTTGGTGCCAGAGCAATGTTTGTTTTTAGATACCATCATTCCTCATGTGCACTTTTGAATCAGCTTTTCCAATAACTTAAAAAAAGTTTGGACTAATCAGTACAGCCATTTGCCTCTGCCTTTAAGACATTAAACGCAGAATGACTAATTTATATCATTTTAATGCACGAAAGAATAAATATTGTAAATGTAAAAATTAAAATTGTATTGGTAGTGATATGCATTTCACTCACTTATTTAAGCTGTTGGTGTTAAGTGTACTGAATACATCACAGCTGCGAATCATGTTACTGAAATTCCTTCTTCATTCTGTTTGAATCCATACTTCTCTCACAACAAAGTAGTGTTGAGTGAACTGTTTTGCAAACAAAAGTCTCAAGTCCATAAAAATTATTCTAATAAAAGAATTTTACTCCTTTCAATGTCCATATAATGAGAAACTAATTTTAAACAATTCAATGTTTATATACACAATAATATTTCACAATCATTCATACTACATAGTTTAAGCTAGAGATGAACTTCTTATAAAAAGAGACAGCATAGGCCAATTATTTATTTGATATATTTCTTAAAAATTATAAGTTTTTCAGATCAAGTCATCAGTTTATCAAGGTAAGCCCATATATAGCTACTTGAAAAATTCATGAACATTCCAGAACTACAATTCCAAGTTTTAGTTGTATGGAAAACTGGTGAAAGTTTAGAAGATATCAAAGAGGAAAAAATAACCTTTTAGTGAGAACATTCTTTACTTGATTTCAACACAGGAATTTTAGCAACAGAACAAAATAGTTTGTTTTTGTAACTTTGAGCTTCTTTTGGGTAGTAAGTCTTGAATTGCATTTGGAAAAATACAGGATGTGAATAAACTCAACAGTGCAGTCATTTGTTTGATTTCCAGCTATAGCTATCATAATGAGTGGAGTTATGAGTATTAATTTCTATTCATATGTTTATATATTCTATTTTTATTAATTTATGAACTGGATACACATAGGTTATACACATTAGCTACATATTTCTCTCATTGGTAAAAGTTGATAAAAAGATACAGATTATTAATTAATATAGTTTATTAATAGAGTTTAGACAAGTTTAAATGAATTTTTCTTTTTTAAAAAAATATTAAACTAATCTACATAAAGGGTAATGCCCAAGAAGCAACTGTGCAGTTTAGGAATAAACACACTCTTGAGTTTGGATTGCGATGCCTGAAACTTATTTTGCAGTGGATAGTGTTCATGTGTTTACCTGGTGGAAACACCAAAGAAGAACATTGTGATAAATAGAGGGATAATTAGAATCCATAGGAGTCTTTTGCTTTATTTTTTTTTAGATAGATTCTCGCTATACAGTTCAGGCTGTCCTTGAACTCACTATGTAGCCAAGGCTGGCCTTGAACTTGCAGTGATCCTCCTGCCTCAGCCTCCCAAGTGTTGAGATTACAGGCATGTGCCACCATGCTGGCAATGCCTGAAATTTATATAGACTTTCCTACCAGTTGTAACTGTTCTCATTCTGTTAGACTATTGCATGCAAAACACAGAATATTCATGGGAGAAGGGCCCTTAAAGATAATTTTATCCGAATTGATTCATATGGAAATGTACACGGATCTGGTTGTCGAAGTTTGCAGCTGGGAACTGACATTGGACTGAGTTAAACCACAGGGTGAGTGAGAGATTTGAAAAAAATGTTTAAGAAATCTGAGTGGAGATAGACATAAGTTCCAGACGCCCAATCTAACATGAGGACAGGGCATGAAAAAGAGCCCTTTTCTAAAGGGAGCTTTGGGGAAAGGGGCTTCAGAGATGGGACAAGCCAAAGAAGAGTGTAGGCGGGTGGGTATTCACACACATTATCTGAACAATAGTGCTGCATTGAAAAGGATAGTTTAAATTGATACAAAACTGTGTAAAATATGCATTTCAAAATATATTTATATAGATACTGGTCATCTCTTAGTTAAAAAGCAATCATCAATCAGAAAAAGTAAAAAATTTAGGTTTGGGTAACGAAACAAAAGGGTATTTAGAAGTGTCACAGTGTAACCCTTGTGAAGTGGTATGTCACCCTAACTAGTATTTTTACTCAAACATATATGAGGCTTCCACTGGTCACTTGAAAATGCTTTTTATTCAGCTTTTACTAGTGAAGTTTTACAAATGTCAAAATAACCGAAATAATTGACTCTGAGTGAATATATTTTAAAGTCACAGAACTATTTTCTTGGTAAGAACTTCACAGAATGAGCTTGAACACACAGCCTTTGACCATTCACAATTATGCAACAGTGAAGGGGCAAAGTTAGCAAGAACATCAAATTGTTTTCTGTGGTCCATCTATGTAAATAATACTTTTTGACTATCATATTTTATTTTTTCTGACCAAAATAATAACAGGAAGCTCACCCCAACTCCCAATCTTGTCTTATCCTTAAATTAAGCATTTTCAACATCTCAAGTCTTGTTGTAGCAAAAAGACAAGCCTGAATCAGCACTTGCTTCCTCTGCAAATGTCTCCCTTTAGCTGGCTCTTTCTATGGCTGAATTTCCAGACATCAGTAGAAATGATGAACAAAGTGACTCCTGGAGTGTACTACAGGGAGACACAGGAGGAAAGAGAGAGGGAAGGGCAAAGCCACAGTGCACAAAAGACAGACCAATGTGCAGCTCTGACTGTGGGCACAGCTGAGCAGCTCAGCTACAGATTTGAAGTGCCTTTCATTCTTATCCCACACACAGAGAGACTTGAGAAAAATCTCAGAAGTGAAGAAAATAACAGTGGCTAAAAATACACGAGGCAGTCTGCACTGTCATTTATAAATGACTACTGATATTTTCCTCCCAGTGGAAAATCATTTGAAATAGGACCAGTGGCAGAAAACCTGGTGAGTGCCTGGGCTTTGCAGGGCTGAGACCTGGGGCAAGAGCACTGCCCAGGGACAAGTGTGGTTTCAGAGTATGCTGACCAAAGGACCCAGGTTTCCAATGCTGAGGCCCATCTTTACAGTAAATACAGAAATTACATTAAAGTGGAGTATAAAACAGAAAAGGCTATCTTTTAAACAAATCAACTGCCAATTTTCCTAAAAAAAATATTTTCTAATTCAACTGAGCAAAAATGGTTTACATCTCAGATTCTTATTACATAGTGAAGAATCTTAGTTCTAATATAAAAACTGGAGCTCATAGGTACTTGCTTTTCTCTGTAGCACCACTTGACAAGTGTGAGTGGAGAAGACTAGAAAAAGTGGCTTATGGCAAGTTCTCTGCATGGTAATTTAAAAATGACTCACTATTAGAATCCAAAGACTTCTTAAAACTCATGAATAAAACTGTTTTGAAAAAGCTATTTTAAAAAATTGTTTTATAGTTTTTTACTACATTGAAATTGCTTCTCACCTAGTCAGAATGCCTACTATCAAGAAAACAAAAAATAAAAAATATGGGGATAAAAGGTAGTCTTTTATACTGTTGGTGGGAATGTAAATTAGTGTAGCCATTATAAATCAATAAGAAGGCTTCTCAAAGAAATAAGAATAGAACTACCATGTAGTGCAGCTGTACCACTCCTGGGCACATTTCCAAAGCAACCACTATTAACATACAGCACAGAGACCTACATACCTTTGTTTATGAGGAGATAATTCACAATAGCCAAATAATAGAATCAATAGTAATAGAATAGAATAAAATAGTAATGGCCGTCAATGGAAAAATGGATAAATAAAATGTATATATACACACGGAGTATTATATAACCATATAGAGGAAAAAACCATGTTATTTTGCAGGAAAATGGATGAAACGGAGATGATTATCTTAGGAAATAATCCAGAGTCGGAAATACCTGTATCATAT